GTCAGCCTCTAGCAATTACATATAGCCCCCAAACCCTAAACACCCCCTTATCCATGCTGCATGCCTTATAGTTCTGAACGAGATCCTGGTAATGCCCATTATTGCTGGGGTTCTGAATGGGAATCTGGCAATGCAAATGACTGCTAGGATTCATGGTTCAAGTTTCTGACCACGAGGAGCTTCTGTATGAAGCCACAGGGCAGGGCACTACGGAACACTGTTAGAGAGATCAGGTTTGGCTGCAGCAAGAGGCTGCAAGGGCAGCTCACAGGGAAGCAGCACAACCAAGGACATCCAGGAGAGATGTGAGGGCCCCCCTGGATTCTCACTGCTGATAAAAAAGGAAGAAGCCCACTCAAACAAACGCAATAGCAGAACAGAGCATTGTCTTGTGGGGTTCAGGAAAAGCAGCTGTTACAGCTACAGCTCAGCCCCCGGGGCTAGGTTCCCAGCCGACCAAGTTCTGGGGAATGTGGACCACTGGAGTCCTCTCTTCCCTTCTGGTCAGAAAGCGCCCCAGAAGACATCTGCAGCTTCGGGTGGAGATGCTTATCCCATCAATGTGCTTCTGGTCCTGGTTAGGAAGACCTACCAGCTCCAGTTCCTGGGGACAGACACCACAAAGGGACAGGGTGATGTCAAGACCCTCAGTGATAGAAAGACCTGCCCAGGTGTTCTGAGGTGAAGGAGAATGGTCATCTCCAAGCAAAGCACACTCGTAAGGAAACCAAGGCCCCTGAGGAATGAGAGCCAGGAATAGGAGATGAGCCAGAGGAGTGAGTGAAGAACTGTGAGAAGGAAGGGAGCTCTAGTTGACAGGGAGTAGCGAGGGCGGGGTGGAGGGGGCCAGAAGAAGGCCACCCCGTGATGCTCCATGTCAGGGTATGGAGGCAGGGACACTGGGGTGCCGGGACTGGAGCAGAAGGCCTGGGCTGGGAACCCCAACTCCCTGCAGGACAGCCTTCAACCCCAAGGTTGCCATGTGTCCCTGCTGTCAACTGCACATCCCCCAACCCCTAGACCTTTAGAGACCTCCTGGTTTGGGGAAGTGGAGCTTGCGTGGAAAGGCACAAACCTCTCCCGGCACAGGAGCTGCTGGGCAAAGCCAGGAAGCCACATCCCAAGAGAGGCTCAGAGATGAGTCACCCTCATCCCCTCCACAAAAGGCAGGCTGTGTGCCTGTTTGGGGGAGGGTGTGGCTATGTCAGGACACAGTTTAAGGGGCCTGGCATCTTAGGCTCACCACTGAAGTCCTCAAGCAGAGAATTTGTAGAACAAAAGTTTCAAGGAGCTGCAAACACCTTCTCAAAAGATAAGAGAGAGAAAAATGCTGGCTCACCAGCACTCCTCTTCGGAAGAGGACCACATATATTTTCATGGTGAGGGTGGGGGAGGGGCTTCTTCGGGTGAAATCAAGAGAGACGCTCTTCCCCACACCAGCCCCAGGAGGCCTGCCTAAGACAAGGAGTGCTCGCTGCTTAGCGGGCAGGGGTGGTGGGTGAATGAAAGAGGAGTCGGGGTGGAGTCTGAAGGAGGTAAAGTGGCCCCCCTCCCTGTGACGCCCCCTCCTGAATTGTGCAAGAAGTTACCAAACCCACAGAGCGCCAGATGCCAGAGGGACTCCTGAGGAAGGGACTGGGCTTCGAGTCCAGTTAAGTCCAAGTCAGGTGAGTCTTAAATTTCAGAGGTCTACAGAGCTGAATAAAAGGTAATTTCACTGAGGCAGGTGATGGAGAATAGAGAGAACAAGCGGCTGCACGACTCAAGTTCTTTTATTTTTTTAAATATTGGGACAGAAAAGTTTGGAATCATTAAAAAACATGAAATAGAATTAACATCACCTGGAAAGGGGCAGCCATCTGCAGGACGGCTTCAGCGGCACCGGATGAGCCCTTGCTCTCCTGAGAAGAGGCCGGCGAGGCGTGGACAGTGGGGGGAACATGCTCATCCCAGGCCCTGCTGACGGCCTGGGGCCAGAGAGCCCACTAATAAGAAAGATGAAATGTCCCTGCTTATTACAGAGCTACAAGTCAATTTTAGGACTGTGAAATATGACTTTAATAAATGAATACATAAGCCATCACGGTCTGAAGCCCAGCAGTGCTGAGAACCGAAATGGTATTTAGTCCACAGAATCATGCATGCAGAGCCAGAGCTTGGGGTCTGGTGGATTTTAAAATGCATTTGGCAAGTGTCTTTGAATCTCCTGATGGGCCCCTTTTTCTCTCCCCTGATATCTGTGTGGGTGGTGCCCCTGCATCTGTGGCAGGTTTGGGAACAGGCCGGTACGTGTGCACTCGTGTGTGCTCCCATGTGTATGGCTGAGGGACTATCTGTTACTGGCTGTGTGTGTGTCTGAAAGACACACGTGTCTTTTCTGAACCGCTGCTCTCAGTGTATTAGTGGCTTTTTCATCACAAAGCTAAGAGCAGAGAAAACGGAATGGAATGACGCTGCAGTGTCCAACAGACTGGAAATCAGAACATTCTCCCCGATGAGGCTGCTTAGGACAGGGATGGCTCAGAGCCCAACCACAGTAGTATTTCTTTAAAGAAGGCCTCCCTCCTCCATCCTCTTTGTCTGTTCTTCTCTCTTCCTCCTCCCTTCCTTCCAATAACTGCTGAGGCCCACTGCAAGCCTGATATGATGTTATATATATACTATCTCATTTAATCCACATAAGAACCCTTCATTGGACCCACTGACATCTCTGTTTTACAAACCAGAGAACTGTGATTCAGAATGATGATGGGATAGACCCAACATCGCACAGCTAGTGAACGGAAGATTCTCAGAAGGGGCATGCTTTTTTCCCTAAAAGCAGGAAACTCAGCTTGGAGCAGAGGACCCTAGGCAGGATTACGGGGACCTCAATTGACCAATAATATCCCCTTCTCTGGAACACAGGACATGTTGCTACCCAATACAGGAGTTACTGTCAGATAAATGAGTGGCAATGTGCTTACCACAGAGCTGGGACGTAAGAGATGCCTAAGAAATGTCCTTTTTTCCCCTCTGTACCCCATCAAAGAGCGTAGCCAACCACAGGTCTATCCCTCTCTGGAGTCACTTTTCCTGCTCTTTCCACTTGCACCTGTGGCCCCATCCTGTATCCATTTGCATCAGACCCTAGGTAGGGGGTTTTCAGATTAGAACCCTAAGGCCTCCTTGATGGGATCCATGGACTTATGCAGACACTTGAAGTTTATACTCAGTGAAACGGGGGGAGTTTTGGAACCAGGGCACCAGGATTCTGGTCCCAGCTTTGCCAATGATTTGTTCTGTGCTCTTGGACTTCACTGTCCATCTCTAGACCTCAGCTTTATCACCTACATCAGGGTTCAAACTATGGCCTGGAAGCCAAATCTGGTCCATCACCTGTTTCTGTACAATAAAGTTTTCTTGGAAAACAGCCACGCCCATTCATTTACATATTGTCTATAACTGCTTGCACGGTACATCTGAAAGAACTATACCATGGGTTTTGAACTGAAGGATGCCTACAAATCTCCCAGCCACTCACCTTGCCACCCTGAGGTCCCTGTTCTGCTTCCAACTCCAGAGAAATTTCTCCAAAAGTAGATCTACGTAACTTTCTTACTTAAAACCTTCCATCAGTGGGCGTGGGGATTAACTTTAAACAGGCACAGGGGATCTTATGGGGTTGATGAAAATGTTCTAGAGCTGGTTTATGGTGACGGTTGTGCAAGTCAATAGATTTACTAAAAATCACTGGATTGCATACTTAAAATAAGTGGATTCTATGATACGTAAGTTGTACCTTAATAGCGTAGTTTAAAAAAAAACTTTCGGGGGCTTCCCTGGTGGCACAGTGGTTGGGAGTCCGCCTGCCAATGCAGGGGACGCGGGTTCGTGCCCGGTCCAGGAGGATCCCACATGCCACGGAGCAGCTGGTCCCGTGAGCCGTGGCCACTGGGCCTGTGCGTCCAGAGCTTGTGCTCCGCAACAGGCGGGGGGGCGGGGGGGGCACAGCAGTGAGAGGTCCGCATAACGCTAAAAAAAAAAAAAAAAACTTTCAACAGCCCCAGGCCACAACATGGAGCTGTGTTCCTCTAAGTGAGCTCTGTGGGCTGGTGACACCCTGCAGAGTGTGTGTCATCAGTCCTCAATGGGATAAGAGGCTCCTCAACGAGATAAGAGGCATTTAGAGAGTATCCCAGCAATTTGGCATTACTGTGACACTCTGATTGCAGTTTATAAAAGTACTGGTCCACAAGTTGAGGAGAAGAAACCTGGTCCTCCGCCACAGATGGTTTGAGTAGTGCTGCTCTAGCCTAGAGAATAAATTTACTCTCCTTAGTCTGGCATTCAAAGACCCCATGACCTACCCATCCCTGCAGGCTTAGCTCCCAGTAGATCTCCTTTTCGACCTATAAACAACCTAGTTTCCAAACTCCGCCAAAATCTCCTCCAGCCCATGGTGAGCACTACCCCTGTCAACTCAAATGTCTTTCCCTTCCTTTTTCAATAATTAGTTATTCATCTTCAAGACTCAGCCTAAGCTGTCTGGTCCTCTTAGAAGCCATCCTAATTGTCTTGCCCCCAAACACCGTCTTCCTCAGGGGCAATATGTGACTAGTTACCTCATCTTTCTGAACCTTAATTTTTTCATCTGTAAAACAGGCATGATAATAGTATCTCCCTCATCAGATTGTTATAAGACATTATTGCATAGAAGGCTTCAATAGCTAGCTTCCTCCAGCAACCTGTGGAATCCACATGCATCCCACTATATTCTAAGTGTTTATTTATTTATCAATCAGTTTCCTCCTCCAGACTGCGATCTCCAGGGTGGCAGGGGCTGTAGAGGATCTCTTCTGCATCCTCCAGGGCTGGTTAGGAGAAGTAGCTTGGTAAACACGCATTGAACAAGTGAGTAAATGAAGTCCTTTCTAGACCTAAACTCTAAAGAGGGCAAGAGGTGTACAGATAGATTATTACTTAAAAAAAAAAAATCAAACTACGGTAAAACAGCATACCTGGTAGAAATGTGGCCAGAAGGTGCTGATGGCAAGCTCTGTCTTCACCCAGCCCTCAGTGACGACCCCAGACACGTTCCAGACAGGGTTCCCCTGGGGCCCACCGTTCACCTTCACATAGACATTCAAGGCCCCCGGGCTGGACCTGTCGCGGCTGGAGAAGTAGTAATGGAAATCGATGCAGTGGGTGTCATTCTCCTTCAGGGTCGGCAGGAGAAGGTGCGCCTTCTGGCCAGAGGCCCTCCCAGAGCTGTTCACCATCATGAAGGATCCTGGAGACCCACAAAGGGGGCGGGAGGTAGAGACAAGGAGAGAGAAAGAAAATCCTTCTGAAAATCAGTCACACCTGTAAACACAGTGGCCAGAAATCCAGTCCCTCTAGGAGGATATGGTTGATCCCCAGAAACCTACATTTCCTCTCTGGAGTATTTCCTCTCTCTTCTGTAACTGGGAATAAAAAATCCTACTCACCGAGGTGGTTTTAAGAATTAAGAGATGGTAACATACACGAAGTATTCTACAAAGTAAACAGTCTACAAACATGTACAGGAAAAAAAAAAACAGCAAATATTAAAAACAGTAGCTCCAACAGGAAGCATGGAACAAAAACTCAGGAATTTAGTTAACTGCAACCTCCATGGGTGAAATGAGGTGAAATATCACCTCATTCGAGCTTGGGTTGTCTCAATGGAAGCAGAAACTCTACAGCACCCAGGTATTGTTTTAACATATTCCACCTGGAGCCTTGCATTAGTACAAGGAATATATCAGAGGAGGACATATAAAAAGTACAGTATATTCAAATAAGTGAAGAAGACCTTGAAAAAATTTGAGAACCAACTGAAAGATGGAATGGAGGGTAAGTAACACTTGCTAAGCACTTAAGGGGTACCAGTGTGATGCTTACTGTCTTATTTATATATTGTTCAATTTAATCTTCAGAATGACCCTGGGAGAAGGAGAGTTTTCATTTTATTTAAAGACTGAGTGATTCGCCCTGGACCACTCAGACAGAGAGGCATGAGACCCAGATTTTCTTCAACCTCAAAGTTTATGCTATTTTTACTATTTGCAGAAAACATGACTAGTATTTTCAAACACTGGAAAAGCCTGTCTCCTAGAAAGGAAGTGAGCCTCTTTGGAGTTCCTTTGACCGATTAAATGGTTGTTTCTAGTTCTTCACCCCTCCCTGGCTCCATGCCCTTGACCTTTGGCCTTGCAGTCCCTCCCAAAAGAGGCAGAGAGCATGTCCCCGTCCCCGTCCCACGACTTTGGGCTCCACTCGCTTTGATCAACAGGAGACTAACAGAATGAGGCTTGAAACATGCTTGCCTAGCTGCGCTTGCCCTCTTGCACTACTGCCACCTTCCATGAGAAGAATGTGCCCCAAGCAGCTGCTGCCGCCTTCAGCTTGGGATCAAGGACAGACACATGTGGAAGAGAACTAAACTCAACGGATAGTAAAGAACCAAGCCAAGCCACCCACACAGCTGAAAGCACAGCCACATAGCCAAGGAGCCCAACCTGGCTCAGCAGATCCACCACGGGGGCTCAGACCCAGAAATGTGAGAATAAACACACACTGCTGTTTGCCACTGAGTTTCCTCTGGGTTTGTCAGGCACATTACTGCGGCAATAGCTCACTGATGAAGGTCACCAGAGAGGTCAGACTTATGAAAGAAACCACAGGGAGGCACATTTCAGTTCAAAGGATCTTTTAACAAGTCAAATGGATGCAAAATGGGATGGACTGCCTGGGAGACAAAGTGAGTTCCTCATCACCGAAGGTGGCTACACAGAGCCTGGACAAACTGAGGAGCCTTCTAAGGAAATTTCACAATCAACTGGGAGGGCTAAACTCTGTGACTTAGAGTCTTATGATTCTATGAAATAAACTGCATCATAAAACACAGTAGTGCTTCCCTGGTAGCGCAGTGGTTGGGAATCTGCCTGCCAATGCAGGGGACACGGGTTAGATCCCTGGCCCGGGAAGATGCCACACGCCGTGGAGCAACTAAGCCCGCATGCCACAACCACTGAAGCCCGTGCGCCTAGAGCCCCTGCTCCACAACAAGAGAAGCCACCGCAATGAGAAGCCTGCGCACCGCAACGAAGAGCAGCTCCCGCTCGCCACCGCTAGAGAAAGCCCACGCGCGGCAACGAAGACCCAACACGGCCAAAAATAAAAACAAATAAATAAATAAACTTATTTTAAAAAAAAAACACACAGTAGATAAACTCAAGTTTTTCTGGAATGAATATTCCCACCTAGAAAACCACTGCTGTTTTGAAATCTTATTTTAGCCACTAAAATCTTCAGCTGGAATGAAACCTTAAGACCACTTATCCTCAACCAAGATGAGCCACTTCAGTAGCCGTAAGGAGCCTCATTCTTTCACCCTAATTCCCAAAAGACTAATCGCTGCAGATAATAAATGCTGGGCAATCCGTATCTTGTTGGGGTTCTAGAGGGTACTGGTCACTCGTAGCCTGTCTCCTCTGGGTTCAGGACAAATTTAAAAATAGACACAGGAGAGAGAGAGAGACTTCAAAATCTCTGCTTTCTTGTTCACAAAGCTGGATCAAAGGAAGGAACTTGGACTTGAGGCCAAATTAGGCTTCCTGCATTTTCTTCCCTGAACCAGCATGCAAAAGCAGCTGCATGATCAAGGACTCCTTCCTTCCAACTCAACCCAGATCCCTAGGGCTCATCCCAAAAATGAGCCAACAAGAAGCAAGGTGATAAAGACAGAAACTTGAACCAATGGCTAACAGACTTTCAACATCCCACCAATCAGAAAACTCACCCACCCCCTGGGGTAGGAGCCGCTGAAAGTGGAGCGAAAGTGGTATCTTCCCCATGTTTCCAAGAGAGTCAAGTTTCCTAGTTTAGAGCCAGGCAGTAACACAGGGTACATAGAGAGCTGTCCCTTGTCAGATGTTGTCTCTAATCATCACCAACTCCCAATTGAGGCAGCAAGGAAGGAACCACTGCAGGGGGGAAACTGAGGCACAGAGGGAGGTTGGCATCCATGCCCACGTCTGTTTGCTGACCTACATCCCACAGGGTTCCAGAGGTTCCCCTGGGACAGATGAGTGATGACCCACAAGACCCACAAGCCTCTGGCCACAGAGGGAGGGTGGGGCACAGCTACTGGTAGGGAAGACAGCCTGAGAAACAAGTGGTGTCTGGCTCTCTCCACTCAGAATCCTGGGATGCCCCGTGGACATTTAAGCTCCTATCCTCCTGCCAGTTCACACCAGGGGTCTTAGCGTCCACAGCAGCGAGAGTTGGGAAGGTTTCCCGTCCACCAGCTCAGGTTCCCCCTCTTTGCATCCTAGCTCCAGTGGCGAGGCAGGCTCACTGAGGAGATGGGGCCATGTGACATCCATCCGCTCCAGCAAGTCTAGGGATTTCTCCATCTGCTGCCTCCATGATTGTTAATAAAGGATGCTGCCATTTCCCTGAAGGCAGAGCTGGTGGATGTGCTTGGCCCTCCACCAAGTCTTCATGTAGCAGAAATTGCTGGCTGATTAGCAAACCTGTCCTCTTTGTTCTGGGCACATAGCTGGATTATACTCCCCAGCTTCCTTTCAGAGTTTGGGGAGGACCTGCAACTAGGTTCCAGCCAATGGGGCCCAAGTGCGAAGTCTACCACTTCCAGCTTGGTGCTTAGAAGCAGACAGCCTCCACCCTGCCTCCCCCAACTCCCACTGCTCCATTCTCTTTTATCTCATCCTTCCAAGGATGATTCTTGGACCAGGAGTCTCAGCATCACCGGGGAGCTGGTAAGAAATGAAGATTCTCAGGCCCCAGCCCAGGCCTATTGCATCTGAATTAGCATTTTATCAAGATCACGAGGTGCCTTGTACGCACATTAACGTTCCAGAATCACTGCTGCATTGTCTTTTTCCCATCCACCAGCTGAAAGTACAGGATTCCAAGAGCCTAAGTGACGGCAAAGCCACAATTAAAGGAGCCTAGTTCCCTGAATGACCATGACCATGACCATGAGGAAGGCCACCCACAATTAGGAACGTTCATTTTGGACTTTAAGTAAGTAAGCAAGGAATAAACTATTATTGGGTCATTAAGCCGTTAAACATTTGACGTTTATTTCTGCAACTAGCATTATCCTTATTATTTTGGCATCCCTGTAGAGCCCCTACTTCCTACAAGTCCCTTTATTTAAGGAGATAACATGAGAAATGATAACAGTTACTAAGCAAGGCTGCAGGATGTTCCAAATAGGGACATCATTAAGAGCAGTGTCCTTGGGTAAAAAGAAGCAGAAAGAAAGAAGAGAATGAAAATAATGGACTCCAAAAATAAATCCTTGAGAAGGAAAGAAACATCCTGGACCTTCATTAAGATACTTTGTGTCTCGGGGGGCCAGAGTTGGGTTGGGTTAGGGTAACAAATCACGTTCCCCATCACCACCACCCTGACCCCCTAATGGCGATCTGTGTGACCTCATATGCATCCTCTGGCCTGTAAACCAGACAGAAAGGTATGTGTTTGGGTGCAAGTCTCAGGGAGGTAAACAAGAAAACTGAAAAAAATATATAATAAAGAAAACGATGGCTGCCCATCCCACCCAGGCCAGGTGGGAACAGCAGGAGAAGTCCTGCTCAGGAATGTCCTGGTGAGGCTGGGGGAATGCGCAGTGCTGCCCTGGAGTCCAAGTGACAGAGTGTGAGAGAGGAACCTCTGGGGATGTGGTGGGGTGCGGGAGGTCAGCAGCATCGGTATCTCGCCCGCCCCGCAAGAGGGGAGGGGGACTGTGACACTGTGACACCCACAGCAGCAGCCGTGGTGAGGGTCTCCTGCGCCACGCAGGCAGTGAGCTTCCATGAGGAGTCCGGAAAGGGGCAACACGGGCAAATGATCTTATTTATACTCATGCACTCACAACATGCCCAAGGATTCTTATGAGTGACTGGGGAGAGCCTTAGGAGGGCAGAAAGAGGCCCGGCAGCCAAGCAGGTGGAGGCTTGGGGACACGAGATTTAAACCCCGGATTAGTGTCCAATTACTACTATAACTAAAAACCAAAAACTCGGTGGATTCATACAACACAAACTTATTCCCTTATGGTTCTGGCGGTCAGGAGTCTAAAATCAAGGCATTACAGGGCTGCTTTCCTTTTGGAGCCTTCAGGAGATAAACTGTTTCCTTGCTTTCAGTGTCTGCCTGCATTCCCTGGTTCGTGGTTCCTTCCTCCATCTTCGAAGGGCATCACTCCAACCTGTAGTTCCACAGACACATCTT